AGGAGGAGGAGGAGGAGGAGGAGGAGGAGGGAGGGAGGGAGGGAGGGAGGGAGGGGAGAGAGAGAGAGAGAGAAAGAGAGAGAGAGAGAGAGCATATGAAAAAGGGAAAAAAGAAATAAATAAAACAGGAGATAGTTGTGAGAGGACACCTATATATACTGGTCAAGTTTTGACCAGACTGCCCAGAATGGTAAGTCTACCAGGTGATATTCTATTTCGAAGTTGACATTGCTTGGGCGCTTCCTGGTTATGGCTCTTGAACTTTGTCTTCTATCACCTAATTTCTAGAAATAATTATTTAAGGATTGCTGTCATAATGCCCTGTTCTAAGTAAGAATCTATATTTCTTAACAAGAGGTTGGGAAACCTAACTGCCATGCATGAACTGGCAGCATTCTTGAACTCATCTCCATCTCTGCTTTTATCTATCATTGATAAGGTCTTATTGTCCTATCTGAAGCAAATTGCTTTGGCAAATAATAAACCAGCAAAAATTGTACAAAAAATTGATTTGTGTTGCCACTTTGTGATTGCTCGTCGGACAGCATGCCATTTATGTTTTTTCCTAGAGCATTTTATACGTTTCCAACTGTATACCATTGCCAATTCTTCATAGCTTCTCTTATTCTGGTCTCTGTGGATGATCAAGACCTTCTGTAGACAATTGTGGTTCTCTTTTATTTTGTCACAGGTGATGCAGTTCCTCTTGAATATAATCTTGTTGGGTTGAATGCCATCTCTTTCGATAAAGGATGCTACGTAGGTCAGGAGCTAATTGCTCGGACACATCATCGAGGTGTCATCCGCAAGCGGTTGTTTCCTCTGAAGTTTGTAACTGATAATGGAGAAGGTTTATTTTCTATCTAATTGGCTTTTTCAGGGCCTTATTTTGCATATGATCATGGATACTCATACATCTTTTTGTCTTCCATCAGAAATGCAGCAAGAAGTCTCGCCAAATTCAGACATAGTAGATTATGCTTCTAATAAAAAGGTTGGGACTGTGACAACGGCACTTGAATGTCATGGCATGGGCTTGGTGAGACTGGATGATGGCCTCAAGCAGTCCTCCGATCTACGCATCAAAGGTAGGGAAGATTTGACGGTTAGGGTCATCAGACCAGATTGGTGGCCTGTTGAATGGACACAATTGCAAGAACAACGAACTGTTGCTGCTTAGAGTTAAATGTTGAAATGCTCGATGCCGATTTTATTATATTTTACCAGTCAAACATGGGTGTAGATGGCTGTGATCTCCGAAAACAATGAACAGCTGTTCAGTCTCTAACCTTCTAAGTCAGGTAAAGTAGAGCACCCTTTCAACACATCTTGGTTGGTCAGTAACCCTAGCTTGTACTATTAAATAAAATGTGATTCAGCGGAGTAGCTTGTGTAATTTCTGCACAGTTCAGTTGTGAAATTTTAACGAGGAATGATTACTCCACCAAATAATATCATTATTCAGATTGAGGAATGCTGCAGCAAACTTGTGTTGGAAAGCTAATCTTTCATTAGTGAGAGTTAGCATTTTTGTTTCTGTAATTGCGTATTGTTGGAATTTATTGGCTATTTAATGGCTTCTTTGTCTTTTGTAGATTGATCTAAGCTACATTTCTTGTTCCACCTTGGCAATTTTCCAAGAAGGTGCTGCAGAGACAAAGCTCCAACAAGAAGACCTCTTCTGGTTCGGCAATAAGTTTAGCTGCCTTAGGCCTTCATATGCAACATATGGCAACATCCACGTTAACTAGAACAGGCTGGTATACAAGTAGAAGAAACAAGCTAAAGCTCAATTCCAGGAGGCGTATTGCCGGAAAAGGGAGTTATTTCGAACATCAAGCACTGTGGGCCAAACAGTTGAGTTAGCTTGACAAGGATTGAACCAAACAGCTGATTAAGGATCAAATCGGCCGGCTCAACTGAATCAAATCTCCCAAGCTCGCCGGAATTGCTCCGGTTAAGTGATTAGATTGCAGAGCAAGAATACCAAGCTTCTTCAGAAGGCCCAAGTGGGTCGGAATACTCCCGGTGTGCTGGTTATAGCATAACCGCAAGAATACAAACCATCAAGGAAAAGATACGAGTGTCAGAAGACAACAAAATGGCTCTTAGGAAGGAAGGATTAACTTTTTGTTGAGCTAAAATTAAATAAACAATCAATTTATAAGTTTTGGAACAGACTCTAATATATAAAGATCAATTAAGTATTTTAGGATTTTTAGAGTTAACGGATAAGAAATCGTTGAAAAAGGAGTTTTCAGGAAGGAACGAAATTTGATAATTAAGATTTTGATTCTTCTATACATATTTTATATATTTTTAAATTTTGATAGAAGAAGAACAAGATTCGAGAAATATTTTTTGTACTTTTGGATTTTTCTCTAGGGTATTATAGAGAGGGTATCTTATCTGATTTGTAAATAGAGTGAGAGAAAATATGTAAATTCTTGGGAGTTTACGTGAAAGGGTATGTAAGAAAATTTATGCTTAAATGAAGATTCCTTTAATTGATCTTATATAGTGAAAATTTTTTATTTTCTCTGTGGATATAGGCGAGAGTTATCGAACCATAATAAATTTTACATCAACTTTCTAGTATATTTTTTTGATTATTAATCTTTATGATTCTATTTTTATTTTTGATCTTTCTCCTCTCCCTTCTCAACAAAATGCATCATTAAGAACTAATCTATCCCATGTTCGAGTTTGTAGGTTGCTTAGTGATAAGAACGATTTTGTCCCATGCTAGCTTATCTGTCACCTAGGCCAACACCTAAGCAGGGCTTAGGTTGCTAGCCCTAAAATGATATTGTAGTGCATCCTGATGTGTCCCATTGGCAATAACCGTCTTACCTTATCAAGATTAGAGAGTGATCAAGCGAGACATCTAATTTTATCCGTGGCCAACCAATAAAAAGGCCCTGGGTCAAGTATAAAAAGGAACCCATCAGCTCATGTTGAGGGGGGGGACTCTCTACACACTTAGTCATACAACTTACACTGCTATCTTCTCCTCTTCACTAACTTAACCATCAGAGGGGCCATGCCAAACAACCCCTAGCGTTGACCTGTCATACAAGATCACCGGCAGTCAAGAGGCGACCCCGCTATCAGGGCATAATCACGTAGCCACGAGACAACCCTTCGCCCGAGGACACTCGGACGACTTAGCCCTAGGGAGGAACCTTGCAACCAGAAAGATCCTAGATTGCCTACTCAGTCATCCCAAACTAGGTCCTCGCCAACGGAACAACTTTCGATCGGATCGCCAACGCGGTCTCACCTCAACAAGTCTCCCACATCAGCTAGGAAGAGGCATCTAGGTGAGCTTGCGCTTTCGGTAGTAGACCAACCGTGCCAACTCATCAATCGACAATACTAATGACACCATCATTCTAGCGTTAGAAGGAGGGTTGAACGTCGCAAATGCCTTTTTACTACTCTTCTTAGTGAACACCTTAGACAAGGAGGGCCCCTCCTCCCTTTACGAAGGGGTGAAGGCAAGCCCCATGTGTACCTCATCAGAAGCACCCATCAGGCTTTCGTGTCAGGGGGCCAAGCATCTATGGCTCTGCATTCCTGTTGCGCCCTTGGCAACACCGCCCCTTGACCTTGTTAAGCCAGCGCCTAGCCTTTTTTGCTTGCGGGAGAGCCGGAGCCAGACCCTTGGAAACTCCCCAAGGGACGCTCCGACAACAACCAAGGCTTAGGAGCCCCTACCCCACGAAGTAGTAAGGTGAAGCGAGGGAAAAAGATTCTAAACATTCCCGACCCCGCTCAAGAATCATTCCAAAGGCGAACAGTACATTCCAAAGAAGTTTCTCATTAAACTGGACAAAATGAGTTATAAAGGCAGATGCCATCCTGAAAGGGAGGCTTTAAACAGGAGCTAAAAAAAAAGGGGTCACCAGGACCTACCTGCATCAGGGTGGACGAGACGTCGGGCTATTGTCGAATGTAACCTCCACGAGAGCAAGCACTTCAGCGTCCGAAGGAAGCTTCGCATAAGGATCATCATCGACCTCGAGGTCGGGGTACCTTGCCTTGAAGCGGTTAGTGGCGATTTGGTACCTAAACTCGTATGCAACCTGGCTAGGGCGTTGGTGGCCACATCGGAACCCCTTAGATTCCTTGTAGGAGGCCACAACCCTCCTCTCCTGCTCAAAGGCCTAGTTCTTCTCCTCCTCCTAGGCCCCTTTCTATTTGGGAAACCTGGGGTGACATCACATGCATAGCAGAAGAACAGAAAATAAAAATCCTAGATTGTTACAAAAAAATAGTTTATTGTCTTTGTGTGAAAATTGGTGCGTAAAAACTCATAAAATCGAAAAACCATGTGTGTTACATATGGAGATCGTATATCCTTAAAATCTTACAAATCTATGGGAAAGGATAAAGGAGGTCAACCGTCCTCCTCTCTAGTAGTGATCCACATTATAGGGGCTGTTAGGAACGAGTCGGCACTAAGAGGTGGGGTGAATTAGTGCAGTAGTAAAAATTATGTCGGTTCGAAAATCTTCGTATGTTAAAATCGATTTCGGAAAGATACTTGAGATCGAAAGTATACGGAAGAGTATAGTGGATGTAAAGCAAGTAAGTTTACAATAAAGATAAATTGCATAAACAGAAATGCAAACCGAGTTTTCTAGTGGTTCGGTCGTCGTGACCTACATCCACTCCACCGATTCCTCTTCTATCGAGGCCACCGACATCCACTGTCGATCTTCCTTTAATAGGCGAAGATCAACCTCCTTCTTACCCCCCTCTTCTCCTTTTCACAGGTTTAGGAGACAACCTGTATAAGCACTCACTCCTCTCTCAAGCTATTCTAACACTGAGACTAGAAGAGGAGGATTCTCACAAGAGATTACAACAGTATTTTTCCCATTTTAAATTCTCTGAGAGGGGTATTTATAGGCTTTAAGTTGATTCAAACTTGGAGCCTAAAAACATCTCATCCCGGGTTTCCCGGGTATGGGCAGTACCACCGCTTGTGCTGGGCGATACCATCGCTTGGCATCCTGACATTGGGCGGTACCACCGCCTGACAGAGTTCGAAGACAGAGCTCTAGTGGTACCACCGCTTGACAAGAGTGATACTACCACTGGCAGCATTTACTACCGACGGTACCACCGCCCAGTCTGGGTGGTACTATTAGGAATGAGTTGACACTAAGAAGGGGGGGGGGGGGGTGAATTAGTATAGCAGTAAAAACGTCGGTTTCGAAAAATCCTTTCGTACGATAAAAATCAAACTTAGAAGATAACTTGAAATCTCATGTTCGTAAATGTATTGAAGGCAGTAAGGAAGTAAAATGGTTTGCAATAAAGTAAATTACTCAAGATGAAATGCAAACAAGATTTTAGAGTGGTTCAGTCATCGTGACCTATATCCACTTCGCCGATTCCTCTTTCGTCAAGGCCATCGGCATCCACTATTGATCTTCCTTTAACAAGCGAAGATTAACCTCCTTCTTACACCCCTCTTCTCCTTTTCACAGGTTTAGGGGACAACCTTTACAAGCACTCACTCCTCTCTCAAGCTATTCTAACACTTAGACTAGATGACGAGGATTCTCACAAGAGATTACAACAGCGTTTTTCCCTTTTTAAATTCTCTATGCTTGTGCATCTTAACCAGGGATGAGAGGGGTATTTATAGGCTTCAAGTTGATTCAAACTTGGAGCCTAAAAACATCTCATCCTGGGCTTCTTAGGTACGGGCGGTACCACCACCTGGCATCCTGACACTAGGCGATACCACCGCTTGATAAAGTTCGGATACAGAGCTCTAGCAGTACCACCGCCTGACAGGGGCGGTACCACCATTGGCAGCATTTACTATTGGCGGTACCACCACCCAGTTTGGGCGGGTTTCCTAGGTTCGGACGGTACCACCGCTAGTGTTAATTTGACACTGACATTACATTGGGCGGTACCATCGCCTGGCTCCCTGCCACTGGGCGGTACCATCGCCTGGCACCCTACCAGGGGCGGTTCCACCACTCAAACCAGTAGTACCACCGCTTGACACAGTCTCGGAGACTGTGCCACTTCTTGGGTCATTGTTTGGGCCTTTCATTGGGCCCAACACAGTCCTTACATGGGCCCAACTGACCCCTAATTGAGTTGGCCCAATTCCAATCCCAATTACGTGCTAACTACGAAATTTAAGACATTTCCTAAGCTAAACAAGTCCGTAAGTCTAGGTTTCTTCCAGCAATCTTCCGGTGAACTTCTGATGATCTCTTGGCAATGTTTTAACGGACTCCCGGCAAGCTCTTGGACTTCACGACGATCTTCTTGACGAGTTCCGACGAGCTTCTTTGGTAAGCTCCTGGACTTCTCGGTTGGTTCCTGCAGAACTTCCGACGAACGTCCGGACTTCCGACGAACTCTCGAACTCCCAACGAAATCGCGTTCTTGACTCCGGGACTTCATTTTGCTTTTTGCCTTGCTATTGTTGAATCT